CCTCAAATGAGGCTGAGTCGTGGTGTTGGCCACTCACCCCCTCGTCTCCTGTTACCGGCCTTCAAAGGTGCTCGCTAACAGCACTTGCCCCGACAGTGAAGGCTATACGGGGGATCTTTGTCTTTGTGTGTGTAGCCGTGGTGCTGTGTGGCGTGCCGGCCTTCGTAGGTTGCTACTCGTTAACGGCACTGGCTCCAACAGTCTGTTAGAGGCTGTGGGGATCTTTGTTTTTGTCTGTGTTGTGTATTCGCACGAAGATCTTGGCTCATTACGTGGGGGAATGCGGGAGGGGGGGATGGGGATCAGCCGCCCGCAGCGTTGTCGTAGTGTTGAGTTGAAACGATGCCAAGTGCACAGAATTCATAACCGCACGCGGCATTGGTGACTCAGCCTCCGTGACCGACATGCCGTCTGTATTTATAATAATAATAGCGAGCACGTTTGGTGTGGCGCTATGTACGTGTGTGTGTATATGTTGAACGTCTTTCGCACCGTGCTACCGCAGTTCTAAAGGAATCGGTCACCAGTGCAAGGCTATCACGAAGTCACCACGACGCTTCACAGATGGGTGCAGCGGGTAGCAGCGATGCAGGTGGCCTGCAGTCACAGCACTTCTTGAGACAGCGAGGGTTGGTGGGTCGCCGCACTGCCTAATCGTTCGTACCGCTGCTGATGTACATGGCAGAGCGACAACATACGATTTCACATTCAGGTGGTCAAGGCCAGGACAACCGGGAGCAGCGGAGCGGCGTATCCATCGCTGTGACGTCCCCTTCGTATTTGTGGATCGGGGCATTGCGCTCGTTAAACGCTGCACGGTCTGTTCTTTGGCGAGCACAGTCGCACCGCTGCTACTGGAGAGTTTCACATTTTCCGCACTTATTTTGTGAAACTTCCTCCCCTGTCGGTGTGCGGAGGTGCCATAACCCTGGGCTCGCCAGGAGAAGGCAGTACAGCAAGTGTGGACTAATCGCCATCTGTTTATTCCATCTGTGCGGGGGATTGAGCGTTGCCCCCTCGCGGAAGGGCGTCGGGGTTATCGCCGCGTGCTCCGTTTCCCTCCTCCTCCACGTGAATAATGAACACAGGTCATCATCGTTTATTGGCTGTAAACTTACAATCGTCAAACACCCTAATGTATCAGATTCCGGTGACTCAGCGTGGCTCTGCTGGATAAATGGGTTGTTATTATAATACTTTTTTAATTATAGTCTGGCAGTCGAGGTACATTCCGTCATCCGTCTAGGTGGCTCAGCAGGTAGAGCGAGCGGCCATCGCAAAGGTCAAGAGTTCAAGTTCTCATTGTGGTGGCGGTCGAGGGCGGTTGGTTGGCTTTAGCCCATCATCATCCATCCCTCCGGGTTGGATAAAATAGGTATCACTTTGTATGTATGTATGCATGTATGTTGAACTTCTTTCGCACCATACGTAGACAACCGTGCTAATGTACGGTGGGAAGGACGGAAAAAAAACTAAACGCAAACAAAGTTTGTTTGACGACAAACTTTGACAACAATCTTCGTGGGGAAGCACCAACAGCGGTTGTTCAATGAAGATACCCCCCCCTCCCCCCGTCACAGTAATGTGGAATTTACACCACTGGCTCGACAGCAGGGCTGTAGATAGGAGAATAAGTGCCGACGGCGCCTCTGCTAGTTGGGGACGAGTTCGCTCTGTGGGGACGGTACTGCTGCTGTACCGTTTCACAGAGTGTGGTGATTTTTCTAATTGCCTACTTTAAAAAAAAATCTATGTACGTATGTTGAACCTCTTTCGCACCGTACGTAGCCAACGAGCGTCCCAGGGTCTTTCATGGCCACTCCGAAGCAGACGCAGTATGCTAGTGTTATTTTATGATGAATACACAGCGGCGGTATTAACCAGGGCGGCCGATGGTCTCGAACTACGAACATCTGGACACAAAATAGTACTCAATTTACGTGACCCCCTGTTGATGATGGTGGTAGTTGTGGGTTGAGTTTTCACTGCCTCGCCGGAGATTCCAGCTCGGAATCAGCACTCACCGAGTCACTCGCTAATTCACCAGCGGTCAGTCGCCTCCCTATCGCTCTCCTATCGCTACTAGCGCGGTCGCTGTTCCTGTGGACGTCACCCGTGTTAAGGACCCGGTCTGTCAGACGCCGACTGTTTCATCTCATCCACCACCATTACCACGCTCTTCAACCACCACCACCACCACCACAGTGTGTTCCACCACGACCACCACGCTGTGTTCAACACCACCACAGTGTTCAACAACAACCACCACCACGACCACTATGCTGTGTTCAACCACCCCAACACTGTTCAACCACCATCACACTGCAGGTCACAACAACACACCCATTTAAGCACTCATTTAAGCACTCACCTACCCACTCATTCACTCACTCATCCACCCACTCACTCATCCACCCACTCACTCATCCACCCACCCACCCACTCACCCACCCACCCACTCACCTACCCACCCACCCACTCACCTACCCACTCACCACACTGCAGTTAACCTCACCTCTCTGCTGCTCCACTGTGCTCCCCCCTCCCTAAGTTCTTACTACAACAACAATAATAACCTCGCTCCAGTCAAGAAACAGGCCACACTATTTCACGGTGCTGTTTGTTGCTGGCCGCTTGTTCGGGCCATTAGGGGTCTATGCTCAGGCATCCGTGATTTATATAGTATCGCAATTTTTTTTTGTTAAATCTAAACCAAAACCTCACCGTACTGGGATGGGCGACGGGCCAACTTGAACCATCTGGCCGGATTTGTTTGGATTATTATTTTTTTCAGTTCCGTTTCTATTTTTCCTTCTCCTCCCTCGCCCCGACTTTTCCATTTTCGCTGAATTATTCCCCCCCCCCTTCCTCCTCTTCCTCTCTCTCTCTCTCTCGATATTTTCATTCGGGTTTGTTTTTCGGGGTGTCCCCGCCCTTGGCGTTCGATTGATCGCCTTTCGCCTGGGAGCCGCTCCGTCGCTGCGTCTACCCAACCGCTCAGGAATGCGGCCGACCGGAGCTTCCCCCCCGCCCCGCCCCTACCCCCCCGCCCCGCCCCTACCGCTCTCTGCGTTGCTGCTGCTGCGGAAACTACGCAGCCCCCCCCACCTTCCCCCCGCCCCCCCTTCCCGAGGCCCCCCTTTCCCCCGGCCCCCCTTCCCCCCGCCCCCCTCCCCCCGCCCCCCCTTCCCTAGGCCCCCTGCTTCCCCCCGCCCCCCCCCCCTTCCCCCCCGCCCCCCCTCCCCCCGCCCCCCATTCCCCCGGCCCCCCTTCCCCCTGGCTCTCCCTTCCCCCCCTTCCCTAGGCCCCCCCTTCCCCCCCCCCTTCCCCCCGGCCCCCCCTTCTCCCCGCCCCCCGCCCCACCCCTTCCCCCCGGCCCCCCTTCCCCCCGGCCCCCTTTCCCCCCGCCCCCCCCTTCCCCCCGCCCCCGCCTTCTCCCCGCCCCGCCCCCCGCCCTCCCTGGCCCCCCCCACCCCTGCCGCTTTCTGCGCTGCGTTGCTGCTGCTGCGGAAACTCCGCACCCCCCCCCGCACCGCACCCCCCACCCCCCCGCACCGCACAGCGCAAGCCCCGACAGCGAGAACGTCGCTTCACAATCCCCCGGCAGCAGCAGCCCACCGGGCTCACCGGGCTCACCGGGCTCACCGCGTCAGCGCAAATCACCGCGCCTAGCGCCGCCACCGCCACCACCCCTTTGATGTAGTGCGCCGGTGAAGGCGCAGCCCTGCAAGTGCTTTGCTCGTCACCTCCTTTTTGTTGTGGTTGTTGTTGTTGTTGTTCCTTTACGAACCAGGTAGAGCCCTCTTCTTGGTTCTTTCGGTAAAGTCACGTAGAAGGGAAATAATAAAATATTAAAAATCAAAAATAATAAATCATTCTCACGACGTTTCGGCCACAACGCAAGCAGCCGTCCTCAGGTGAAGAACAGGTCTGTCGGGAAGACGTTGTCTTATTTCCCTTCTACGTGACTTGACCGAAAGAACCAAGAAGATGAATCCCTGCAGTCACGAAAGCTTTAAATCAAAATTCAGGTAGAGCCCGTTGAGGTTACTTGGCTCTTGTTCAGAGGCGAGCTGGCCACGCATCCGCCGCGGTGGCGAGATGTTAACTACCTCTCCTGGTCTACAGGGAAGGGTCGCGAGTTCGATCTCAACCCTTGCGCCTGCTGTATATTTGGAGCGTGCATGTTCGCTCTCTTTTTTTCCCAGTGGTCGCTGTGGATTTTTCTCCGGGTCCTCGGTTTTCCCCTCCATACTTGACAATCAACATCGCAGCGTTTAGAGTATTCGGCTGCTATAAATGTCCACGTGATAAGCCATGATTGTTTGTGGCCAGGTCGCTTCTGCTAAAGAGCTACATAGCTCAGTGGGGCCTTACCTGGTTAGAGAAACTTGATTATATGTTATATTTCATATTTATGTATGTGATGATAGCGCATTGAGGTGGCTTCTGTCATCATCATCATCATCATCACACGTGGGAGTTTATGGCAGCAGCCGAATAAAGCTAAGCGCGTGTTGATTAAAAATGTGGCGGAGAAAGGGCACAAAACCAGAGGAAGTCGGAAAAACGATCCACGCGACGGATAACGACGAGAGATAAAGAGAAACACGCGGACTCCAATGTGCACCGGCCTGTTGTTGCACAGGAGATGGAGCGATGAGATCTCAACCCGGTTTTGAAGGTGCCGGTCTTGGATCGCTGCTGCATCGCAGGGTTGCGAGAGTTGGTGGCGGAGGCGTAGGGGGGGGGGGGGGGTCGTGCGGGGAGGTCTTCATCCAGCAGTGGATCGATCAAAGCCAACGATGACAAAGATGATGATGATGATGACGACATTGTTGTCCGAATATTTCAACGAGACATCTGGGCGATGAAATGTGGGATCCAAAAAGGGAGGGGGCATTTTTTGCCCCACAGAACTACATAGACACCTCCAGTAGTAACTCTTGTGTGTCCACCCCTTGTGCTCACCCCCCGTGTGCCCCCCTCCCCACCTCCAGGACGGCTCATTGGGCAACATAGACGACCTGGCGCAGCAGTACGCCGAGTATTTCAACACCCACTTCGACGACGTCTTCGACCGGATGGAGGAGCTGCAGAAGAGGCACTCGGTGCTGGAGCTCGCGGTGAGTGCAGGCCTCTCCGACCCGGCCATCTTGCGCCGCCCCCCGCCGCGGTTCAGTTTTAGCGGAGGACGGTTCGAGAGCGTTGGCGAGGAGGTGGTGGTGGTGCCGTGGTGGTGCTGTGGTGGTGGTCGTGTTTTCTTTGTTCAATTGTGAACAACGGCCATGTCAGACGGTAAATCTTATTGGCATAACCATTGGTTCGCTGCAGCTCAAAGACACGCTCCTACGAGGCATGCGGTGACGTTAGGACATGTCCCCGTGTGTGCTCGGCAATATGGAGGGGCTGAAGACCAGAATCGGTGATCTCGCCGACAATCTGCCACGGACCACCGGCCACCCGAGTTCGATTCGCGCTCACGGCCAACAACACCGGTGATGAATATCTGAATCGGTCCTGGGCCTACGCAAGGTCGACTAGGTCTCAATTGAGTACCTGGTGCAATGTGGGGACATTGCCACTGGGGAGACAAAGGCGGTCGGGCGTGGTGTTGGCCACCCACCGCCTCGTGTGCCGTGCTGGCCTTCATAGGTGCTCGCTAACAGCACTTGCCCTAACAGTCTGTTAGGGCTACACGGGGGATCTTTGTCTTTGGTGTTAGTAGGCAGTCACCCTCCAGCAACAACAGTGGAGCGTGGAGGAGGAGCGACGCTCACAATAACGAGCGGAGCGGCGGGCGGCTTAAATGTAGCAAGTTGGCACAGCAGGGGGCACAGCTGGTGCATCTAGCAGTCATCTGAGTCAGTCAACCCATGGCACCTGGGTCTGTCCCGTGACATCCTGCCCAGCGAGCCTTCGAGACTTCACGTGGCCTCGGAGTGCACCAAGCCTGGCACAAGCGCTGTGCTGACGTTACCGCCACATAGTGGCGAATGGCGGCTGTTGTTCTGTTGGTGGTGGTGTTCATAAAATCTTGAAGAAAAATAATGACAACAACACCCTTTCGGCAATCTGCGTGCGATGACCTCTCCCTGATGGCGCCCGATCTCATTGAGCCTGATTAGTCGTGAGTACTCGGAAGGGTGACCACCCCCACCACCAGCAGGGCTTGCCAGGTGTTGTAGGACTGAGGGCAGTGAGGTGTGGGTGGCACGAACGTCGGTGTATCTCGCGCTTTGGGGGGAACTTCAGTAATAGTGTACAGTTGTCTCATGGAGAGACTGGTCCCCGTCTTGGGAATGTGGAATTGACACCACTGAATTGGGCTTGAGAATGGAGATGAGTCTTGCCTCGTGCTCCTCCGAGCAGAGATAAACTTTGGCCTTTGCTGTCGTGGCGGTGAACGAGAGGTCAGGGGTCAGGGGTTTTGATCGTGGATGAGCAGAGGCCAGGGGTTGACACTTTGTTGCACAACGCACACGCACAGACTGTTAGGGAAAGTGCTGTTATCTTGCGCCTATTAAGGCCAGTACGGCCTCCTTTGTCTCCCCAGTACTGATGTTTACACACAGCCCCAGGTACCCATTCAAGTCTGAGTCGACCTAGGGGGGGGGTGAGGCCCCAGACGGGTTCGACTTCTGATGTTAACTGTGGCCGGGAATTGAACTCGGGTCGCAGTGTGCTCCCCACTGCACCACCGATCGTCTTGCACAAATACAAAGATCACCCTATAGCTCTGCATACTTTGAGGGAAAGTGCTGTTCACGAGCACCTGTCATGTACACACGCACACTGGATGGTAATGTAAACAGAATTTTGGGCAAAATATTTGACGAAAATATTCCCCACTCGGGGGCACAGCTCTGAAACGCCGTTTATGACACAGCAACGATAACATTCACCGCATTTTATAAATATTATTCGTGATTTGGCTCTCGGTTGCGCTGACCCAGTCAAGGTCCTGGCCGTGCGAAGGTCAAGAAGGTCCGGTCCGTGTTTTGTTGTTGTTTTCCAGCACCTCGTTGTTGTTGTTACAAAATGATCCCTTGTATAAAGGTGTCAGTTTTTGTACCAGTTTAAAGGGTAAAACCCTACTACTATATTTTGCCACTGGTAAAGGAGGTCTCATAGTGTAAATGCTTACCCCGAGCTCTCAATACTCTGATAGTGCGCTGTTTTTGAGTTGTACGCCTTTTGGCGTCATCTGGTCCAACACCAATGGAGACTAGGCTCTAAGAAAAGCTGTCTCGGGTGTGGACCAATCAACTTTAAGGACAATGCATTTCATTATCATTATCAGAGTTGTTTCTTTTTGTTTGCATTTTGACTGCTTGTGTTGTGGTTATTACAAACATGATCCCTTGTATAAAGGGTTCAGTTTTTGTACCAGTTGAAAGGGTAAAACCCTATTACTATAAAATGTGACCTTTTTTTGCCAGTGTCAAAGTATGAAAAAAACAAGGCGAGGTTTTTACCCTTTCTGGCAATCAAACAGGAGGTGTTAAGATGTTCCAACACCAAAGAGAAAACCTTTTGCAAGGGATCGAGTTCGCATTAACCACACGCACTCGTGGTCAACATGCAAACATACACCCTCTGATAATATACGCATTCTATTTTTCATACGTTGTTATTGTTCTCTGTGTAATCATTCACCCGCGGACACTTTCGTGGAAGTTGTTATCTCAAAACTGCCGCGATCATGACCTCCGCGTGGGCATGCAGCGCAAACTATGGTCCAAGTTGTAAACCCCTAAAGAGACACACAGAGACACGTAGAGTCTCCTGGAGATGCATGGAGACACACAGAGACACATATACACCCACAAAGAATCATACAGATACATAAAGACTCGTAGATACACAGAGATACATAGAGATATGTAGAGTCTCCTGGAGATGCATGGAGACCCACAGAGACACATATACACCCATAGAGAATCCTACAGATACATAAAGACTCGTAGATACAGAGATACGTAGAGATACGTAGACCTCTAGCTATACATAGGGATACATCGAGACCCACAGATACATACAGACGAATAGAGATACATTGAGATGCACGGAGAGACAGAGAGACATTGAGATGGATGACACTCACGTAGAGTTATTTTGTCAAGGCGCTCTTCCCCCCTCCATCCCAGATTAAATAGACGCTCCAAGCCTGGGGTGTGTCAATCAGACTCTGTCTTCTCGACAGACCTGTTCTCCACCTGAGGACGGCTGCTTGCGTTGTGGCCGAAACGTCGTGAGAATTATTTTATTATTTTTATTTTCATTATTTTATTATTTCCATTCTACGTGACTTTACCGAAAGAACCAAGAATATGAATCCCTGCAGTCACGGAAGCTTTAAATCGAAATTTCACGTAGAGTTGTTATGGAGTTTAGAGTTTATTTGATGCCGTGTGTAGCCAGGGCTATCCAGCTATTTCGCACGCGAGATCCGCGGTGCTGCGTGAGCACAGCAGCAAGCAGCGACTACAAAACAGAGACACACACATCGATAACTGCAGTGAACGAGTACACAGGGTTCCCAAGAGGTTGTATTGCGTAAGCACGAGGTGTTTTGACGGCCGTAAACAACAGCCACGTGCAAACATTGTGCGGTGTGGAAGCGATACCACAGGCAGACGCAGCCACGGAAGTGTGAGTGACTGTGGCCACGCAACACAAAACTGTTGACCACGTGGTCAACCCAATGTGGTCTGCGCTTCTACAACGGAGGAGGAGGAACAGCGACACGACACGAACTCTCTCTATGACTGCTGGGGCCTTCTTGTCGTGGCCAGCAGCAGTAGCAGACCTCGACATGAGCATTGTTATAAGCAGGAATAGATGAGTGTGTGGGCAATGGTACGTATATGGGCAATGTTAGAGTTTATGGGCAATGTTAAGTCGATGGACAATGTTAGTCTACGGGCAATGTTACAACAATGCATAATATCTCTGCCGAAGCCCCTCTCGTCATGGTGAGCAGCAGGACCTTGACACTGGCATCGGTGCTCCTGAACAGATTTCTGATGCCGCTATCGTGCACGAGACTAGAACCTCTGCGTGGCTCTGCAGTTGGTCAAGTGACAAGGCTGAAACGCAATGGCAGTTTAGCAACACAAACATTGATGTTTTTTTCTATAGCGCCATCCAGCCCATGAGGTCAAATGTGTTAAGGCGCCAGCTCCGTCCATGTGTCACGATCAATAACAGTGGCGGATATTTAAACTGGTCCTGGGCCTCCCCCAGGTCGACTCAGCCTCAAATGAGTACCTGGCGCCGTGTGTAAACCTCGCCACTGTGGAGACAAAGGCGGCCGGACGTGGTGCTGGCCGCCCACCCCATCGTGTGCCGTGCCGGCCTTCATGGGTGCAACTCGCTAACAGCACTTGCTCCTACAGTCTGTTAAGGCTATACGGGGGTCTTTGTACATGTGTGTGTGGGGTGGGGAGGGTGTAGCGGTTAGTGCGCTGCGCCACGAACTCTGCAACCCCAGTTCGATTCCCGCTCACTGCCAAGACCAGCGACGATTATCTATCTGAGCCCTCCCTGGACCTCACCTGCATCGCGGTGGGGTGTGTAAAACTTCGCCGCTGCGGAGACAAAGGCGGTCTGGCACGCGTCTGGCCACCGACTGCCTCCTGTGCCATGCCGGCCCTAATAGGTTCTCGCTTACAGCACTTGCCCCAACAAGTCTGTGAAAGGCTCTATGGGTGATCTTTGTCTTTGTGTGTAGGCGTACTCGTACGTGTGTGTGTGTGCGTGTGCGCACGTGTGTGTATTTATGTAGGTGCTCGCTATATGGGTGATCTTTGTCTTTGTGACGTCAACAGCACGTGTAGGCTATGCAGGGAACCTTGGTACGTGTTTGTTTTTCTCTGTGTGTGTGTGTGCGCATGTGTGTGTGAGTACGGAGCCGTGACGCAGTAGCTAGCGCACAGCGATATGAACCCGTCAACCCAAGTTCGATTCCCGTTCACGGTCAACAGCGGTGACGAATATCTGAACCGATCTTGGGCCTCCCCTAGGTCGACTTAAGCCTCAAATGAGTACCTGGCACGGTGTGTAAAACATCACCGCTGGGGAGACAAAGGCGGCCGGGCGTGGTGCTTCCGGCCACAACACC